GCCGGAAGGTGTTACACTATATATACTATAAAACCAACTAGATACAACATTATCGCGATATTTGTTGTAATCTTGTGAACAATTTTTTTTAATTCACTTATTCTCTTTCATTCTCATAGTTGTCGTTCGGATGGGCTATTTGTCGAATATCCTGACACTGTCTCGACTCGAACCCTAGTACCTCCCGGTCAGAGGCACTGCATCAATTGATGCCCTGAGCAAACTTTACCGGTCAAGAATGGATAAGAAAATATTCGCTCTGATGTGTAATAAAAAATATTTGCAAGCCAAATCAGCTACAGATTTGGTATATTATCTCTCATTAAGCCCTTCAAGAAGGAATCGAGTTCCTGACGATAGAACACGGAAAACTTTAAATCGAATAACTATATTTCTCACGGATTTCTAAGAGACATGGGCAAATAGTGAAATTACATTTATGCCCAGAAACAAAACAAGGCGCATCGTAGCATTCAATGGCATGATAATGGCATGGCATATTAATAAGAATTCCAAAATCAAAACTAATACTTGAGACAGAGACCTATATCAGGCAGATTATTCTGATATTTGACCGGGTAGATGCCCTCTGACCAAAACAGTTCTAGTGACTGCAACATATGACGCGTACGTCATTTCAGTCAGGTTCTTGGAAACTAAAAGAAGATAAAGCTGTTTGTTGCGGTATTACCCAGCTTCTGGCATCGGTCAAACGTGAAACTGCACTCTCTTAAACTTCGTCATTTAGTTTTAATGGCGTAAAAAGTAATAATTTAATTCGAAGTATTGCTGCCAAGTATCACAGATGCCAACGGTACAGTAAAAAAATTATTCACTTAAAAAAATTTTACAGTTTCACAACACAAATTCAAGGAATGAATTTCAACATAATATAAATTTCAATCAACAATTAAATCACTATTAAATTGAGATTTCGTGACATTCTCAAAATTGCTAATCTTAGTCTTGTGAAATGCAGTTTGGATAATAAAATGATTTGGATGAAACGTAACAACGTAATAATTATTTCAAAGGTTTCACAAATGTCATCAATATAATACGGAATCCGTAAACTGTGGCTAAGCGTGGTTCAGTTACACCCGCGGCAGGAATGCGTGATGTCTTCTTACCCCCACCCCGGCCGATTCCGCTGCCTTAGGTTAGGTAAAACTGAAGGAAATTACCGTTTTAGCACTTCTCATTGAAAAAGTAGAGTATATTTCCCCATCTACTACACCCAAGTAACTCTTACGATAATGATGATGATGAAGACAAAAATGATGGATTAATGATTGATAGAGTGGGAAGCAGGGATAGTGCCGCCTGACGACTCCTCTACGCACGCTACCGTAGTTAGGTAAAACTGAAGAAGTTTAAGGATTTTTACCCTTTCAATTTTAAAGGTAGGATTTGTTTTCCACTCAATAGTCCCCGTTCAAGTTTTAAGGACTAGCACTGGAGGATATGTGCGGTGGTGGCCGAGGCAGGGAAATCGCCATAGCCCCTTGTCCCAGCTTCTGTATTCCATGCCAAAGTGGCGATGGTTACGATTCTGCCCTGTTTTTGTGGCGCAAACCTGCAAGTACCTTTTCGTCACCGACACCGATCTTAAACATCTTTGAATTGGCACCAACTGACCTTATTCTCGATCAGAGGTGTACCGTGTGCAATCAAACGGTAGAATCTGTCAAGAAAGTTCGAAGTAATTAATTTTCAAATAGAGTTTTTCCGTAGGCAAGACCTTAAAATCATAGAAATTTATCGGGTGTACTCAAAAATGCTGTTTTTTCTTCATATAATTCTTTAGTAAAACCCACACTAATGTACTGCTCTTAAAAAATACGTTTTGGGTATCAGAGACCCCAAAAGCGTAATTCAGTCCAAATGTCGACATTTAACTTTTACATTTCATACTTCTAACTTTCACTGTGCTATGAAAAACAAATCAAAATATTTGCCATTTCTAAAATCACGTAAAGGAGGTTTTCTAAAAACGACTCCAATTTTTGTTTCAAATAGAGCCAACTTTAAAGCAAAATAGGTCACATTTTAATCTGAAAAGGCTGTAGAGTATTTTTCTAAGGCAACAAATTATGTTGAACGTATAAATAAATTTATTGGCTTACAGGCGTACAACCTTCATGCAAAAAAATGTCTAGGAAGTTTCCTACGAATACGTATTCTTTTTTGGGTTTGTTTCTCTAGTTGGAAGAGGATTTGAAGATATTTTGTGATAAAACTTAAAGGCTGTTTATTTGATGTAAGTAGGGGTGAGAGTTACACCGAGCACATGCTGATCATTGAGTATAAACCAAGGAACTTTTGTAGTGGTCCTTAAGAAACGATTGTGGAAGGCCTGAAGTCTTGGATGTGAGATTTTGCTGCTGAGCCACAGACTGGACTTGAGTAAATGAGGATGGGTCTGATCAAAGCTTGGTAGAGACGGGTACCAGTATGGATTTGGAGGGAAGTAGTTTGACGTAAAATTAGGAAGTTTGTGAGTTCGTTGTGTGCGAGGGCAAGTCTGTGATGGACATGCGGCTTCAGGGAAAAACGGCGATCAAAGCGGACTCAGTTGTGTATATTCATTGTCTATGAACGCGATTGTTATCCTTATATGCAGCCAATAAGGTCAACTTTCCTTGTAAAATACGTCTTATTTAGAAAATATTAGAAAATGAACATAGTGTTACTACAATTTGGTGACGAGACTTACAAGAGAATGCTAAAATAATCTTTGTTCATGAATTGCATTATAATAATTATAATTTTACGTCACTTGGTGAAGCACAGAGGAGACTCGTTTTCCTTCAGATGACTTTTGTTTGGCAGTGGTTGGCGGTAGCGTCTACGAGTTGCGCCGCATGTTCCAAGGTCGCGCCCTCTTTCCACGGCGCGGCGGGGCAAGGGGAGGGGGCAGCGCGGCGGACGGCCGCGTATAAAGCCTCAGGCGCGGCCTCCTGGGGCATTCGACCTCCAGTCCAGCAGCTGCAGCCATGGCCCTCTGCGCGAAGCCCGTCGCCCTGGCGCTGATCGTCGCAGCCCTGCTCGCGGCCGTGCACGCCGACACGGGTGAGTCTCCTCTCCACCCGCCTGTGTCACCACGCCTAGAGATTTCCGATCGCATCGATCCCTTTTGAAAGAATTCTGTCTCTTGTCGCTAGATAATGGTAACCCACAAGACGGAGGTTTTGCGGAAAAAATAATTCAATATTTATTATTTATAATAATAAATGTTCATGGAAATATTGAAGTCTTTACGGATAACGTTGCATTTTAGCAATATAATAGCGTGTAACACGTGCGTCATATTTGTAATATTTTTTGATAAAATAACGTAATCGAAAAATGTTTAACAATTGACCATTATAATTCTCCAGTGCGTATCGCCGTGAATATTTTATTGCACTCTAGAGTAATACTGAGAATACATACTTATAATTTCCTTAGTTTTCTAAACCACCAAACGATTAGTAAAAACGAAGCGGGGGAAATTTTTTAACATAACTAAATTTTTTGTAATCAATAGCTTCTTGGTCTCGATTATACCGGCACTATATTCGCCAGTTCAAATTCGGCTATTGACACCCAGTCGACCCTATAATCTACATTGACCCACTTTAAAATTCCATCGAAACCCAGAGGTCGATAAAGTTGGAAACCCCTGCCATAGCCTAAATATTTCCTTTTTTATCATATTTCGCGTTCGTTTACTAGAGCTAGTGGTAATTCGGTTACACTTCTCTACGTAACCTCTTCATTTTAGGTGTTGCTTTCCACTGTTTTTCTAATAAGACATACTAATATTATCTTCGGAACACAAGTCATAATACACGTCTTTTCGCATAATCGTTAATTTCGCGAACAAAAAGAAAATACTCACCACTACATACCGGCTGACTTTTGATTTTACCATTATGATATTTTTACTTTTAAAAAATACATAATTTTCTAAACATGTTCCACTTAAATCAAAAATACTATTTTTTTAATCTGTCACTTTTTGTGTGTACTGACGATAAAATATTTATGTTGTAAAAATATGTAAACTAACGTATTTTATTACTACGTTGCACGTACTGCACAAATGTTCATTCCCATGAGAAGTGCTATTATGGTTAATATTGTATGAAAATATTATCTGTGAAGTTAGATTTTATTACAATGTTTGATTGTTTATTTTGTAAATTTGTAGTAATTGTTTTTGGAAAGCGCTTCCCATGGAACTACTTTAAAGTACTGCTTATATTATTATTAATATACTCCTTAGTATATTACATATTGTACCCATTATAAATACTTCACCTCAGAGTACGCTTGAATTTTACATATATATTTCACTGCTGACTTATTCCACATTTGATGATAAATTATCAAAATTCAAGCACTTTATATTTCTTTCGAAAAATAGAAACGGTTACTGGCCGCATCCACAATATGTCAGAAGACAGAATATCTCTTGTATATTCATTGTTTTCCAATTATTTATATATAAATTCATGGGAGTAATTTTGAATAGATAAAAAATAGTCCTTTCTCTAAAGCATTACATGAAGCAAAAGATAATACACCTATTATCTTGTAGAGAATACTCTTGAAACACATCTGAAAACTCTTGCATCTGTTATTTCTATAAGAGTCAACTGTGGGAAGGGGAAACCAGAATAGCAAGTTGGAAGAAATTATAGAAATCTTTATTAAAAAAGATAAACTGAAACCGTTTTATTTGGTTCCGGTTCCCGCAATCTACTAAAGAAAAAGTGACCGTTTCTGTCTCTAACGGTGACAGTGTGCTTAGAATACTGCATTAAATGTTATTGTACTGTCAAAAGGACCTATTAGAATTCAAAACCAAAGAGAGAAAAGGTAGGTTATAATATAACAAATATAATTTGTTTCAATAAAACGTTACTCAGTGTAACAAGTTTTGTACTTGTGCAATGAAAGATTTTGATTATACATTTAAAATTGGAGAGTTCATACAAACAGCCACATCTGTATTTATAATGTCGTTTTAAAGGACATTATTTTTTCCAAAGTTGTTTTTTTAAATTAGTACTTGAATATTTGAGTAGTCCACAGAAGAACAAGAATGAAGTATGATCTCGAGGTTTAATTAATCGTGGCGCAAATTGATGTGAATGCGTAATTGCTGTGTTTGATGCTACATCCGTTTGATGCTAATCTAGCAACCTTGAGGATGTTGGCCTCGGAGGTTCTGAGAAGAGCAACGCAAATGAGGATGCAAATTGAACCGCCGCGCCGCGCCGCAGGAGCGCTCGCAACAAATCTTGAATGGTCTGCTTGGGAAGCGCAACGCAGGCGCGTCACGGCGCCTCCTAGCGCCCGACATCCGAAGCTCCTCTTGCAGGCGCAAACGAGCGGCGGAACCCCACTCCTACCATTCGCTCTCGATTCTCGCCCGCAGCTTCCACATTAACGAACCACTTACTCACAATGACACTCACGATATCCACTCATCGTTCATAATAAAATCATATAAGCGTTCTTTCTCGAGTAGAGATTTCTCTTGAGGCTCTCCCTCCAAACTAATCTTCACAAATGCGAACTCAAAAGAAAGAAAAGTTCAAAGAATTGAAATGAATTACGCGTTCTAATCATAAAAAATTGTTAACATTCACCTGTAAAGCAGGCAGACTCAAACGCAATCTGCAAAACACATCTATATCTGCTTTCGATCGTGCATGACCAAAACAACGGAATGTCCCCGGGTTTTAAAACTTGTTCTTTGACGCCACAAGCCTAAAGTTTCGTTTCTCATGGCGTAACCTATAAATGGAGATTTTGCGGGGACCTTCTTTTAATATATCTTGAGGAATTTGGCTCTTGTGGGTCCCCTCAATTCGTGGAAAGGGTGGGACCAGGGGGACAGCAGAGGGCAACGTGTCCCAAGCCCTCACTTTATTGAGGCCCCGAATTTTTTCATTCAAAAGAAATTAAAAATATATTTACTTCTAAAACACATTTAAGGATATAAGTTATTTCTGACGCGTGACGAAATTAAGTGGTTATGAATTGGGAGAGGAGGGAAATTTTTGTTTGAAATAAGGGGCCCCCAAGGCTCAACTGCCCCAGGGCCCTGATTTTGTCTGAGGGCCTCTGGTTGGAGCAGGTAGTATATCAAATTCTATTAAAAACACGTTCAACTAACATTCTTCCCGTCATAGAATGTGGAGGGAAATGGCAGAATTTTCACATGCGAGAGTTGTCGCACGGTTATAATAAGTAAGATTATAATTCCACGGGCTGTTCTGGCCAAATATGATTTTTGTGACTGGTCCTAAGGCAGTTAAGTATCTCTGAATATCGCAACGCTCTGCGAAATGAATTCTGGAAGTCAGAGTAGCCGACCGCCAAGCCCGAATTTAGACACATTGGAACCTCCAAGCTCAGAATTGTGACGTTCTCTCCGGCCAAAATGCCCCAGAATTACTATTGGAGCTCCAACAGCACATACTTTCTCGCATTATTACTAAATTTTCAATTTCGTAAATTAAGAGAATTCAACGCAAATAAGCCATCCGCCATTATTAAATCGATCGAGGAATATCAATTTTTGAAGAATTAGGGTATACGGTTTCTGGGCTAGAATTGATCACATGTGGACAGAAGAACGGAGGAAAAGACCGGCAGACATTTTGGCGTCAATAGCTTTTTCGGTATCAAGGACCTACAAAAAATGCATTCGTGGTTGAGAAAGTAATTTTTCTATATGAAGGAATGGTTTATCCACGTTTTTGTTACCAGGTCCCGGCAGTAAGAGGTTTTCTATCGAAAATTCGGCGTTTTCTGGCGCAAGATTTCAATATTTTCTCTTCTCATGAAGTTCGGGCGAGAAAAAAAAACTAATTAAAATTGAAAATTAACAATGATGTGAATAATATTATTTTTATATTTAAATACTTTTTAATTTATTGCCTTCAAATAGAAGTTTAGTTTCTTATTTTTTAATTATAAACTTTTAGTTCAATAGGCCATTTGATTAACAATTATTTTACAGATATAAACGTGTTTGATGACATTTTTTGGAATGTTTTATGATTTGTTTCTGTGAACGGAATTTGCCATGGATTGGAACCCCTTAGAAAATGCTTATTTTGCTGGCTGGTACGTAAATCTACCGACCGCAACCTGTTGTTGCCTCAAAGGGTCAGTTCAGGGAGTGTAGTTGGTGGTTAGAGAGAGTTTTCAAGAGTGATTGCTAATCTTCGGATATCGTCACTAAAAATAATATTCTAAGAACTGATAGAAATCATTTCAGAAATAAGATGAGCACATGTTAGCGTGAGAATTCAATCATCAAACGTATGTAACAGAACGTATGGAAAAGGACATAAATACCGAATTTCAGACAGCATTCTCTACTTTCGTCTTGCTTTTAATTAAACTCACAATAGACTAAATTTTAATTACAGAATGAAGCTTGTAAATAACATTTTAAAAATGAAGTTTTGACATGTACTTTTCTTGTATTCTTGTTACATAAATACATGCGAACATCTCAAGCTGATAAAAATAATTGGGAGTACGTAATAATCTCCTGAAAAATTAGCCAACGTTCGTAAAATGAATGTCTTATTTCGTGCACTCACTGATCACCCAACCCAATTTAGTTCGGCATCAAAGAATGTCAACAAACGCAAAACAAATTGTGGTTTTTGTTGGTCTGCAATTTGTGCTCGGAGGGAGGCTAAGAGAGCGTCCCAGTCGAGCGGGTGAGGAAGGCCGCGCCGGGAGCGCAATAAGGAAGCGACGCAAGGCGGGCAGAGGAGGTGAACGGCCTGGCCAGGGCTGCGGAAAGCAGCGACACTTGCCCTCACGCCCAGGAAAAGAAATAACAAGTGAGATGTTGCGTCAAATGCCCTCTCATTTACATAGTATAAAAAACAATTTACTTTGTAATTCAGCAGAGACGTAGACAGAGGGTGGGGAGAAGAGGCGCCTTGAAACTTTTTAAAGCGGTCGTGTAGCTTTGTGTAATAAAAATGGTATTTTCTTACATATGTTCATTTCCTGGTTTTCCCTATTTTAACCTGGCAATTTGGGATTTGTTTATGGACATTTGAGGAAGAGGTTCTTGAAGTCGTCTAGCAATCACTTAATTGCATCATTGAAATAATGATTTAATAATCCTTGATGTTATATTCATGAACTAGTAAAATATGGCGTTACCGACGCTGTAAACTGTTTTAAAAATGGTTTCATGTGTGTTTTTGCTAATTTCATACTTCATTTCTTCCATGTCAAGCTTTGTTTAAGTATGTTCTTTCCCTATCTGGAATTGGACTTACCAATGGATCGTAGAAGCTGATAATGTTATACTCCCATTCAAAAGTTCCCAACACCCAAACCTTGTATGTTACCTGAAAATGGGATATGAATTGTCCTCATTGCAATTTCAAAATTATAATCAGCGTAACAAATACTTGCAGGTTTTGATGATGCTAAATGATGATGATTAGTACAGCTTCATTTCTACCTTTTTTGCTAATATGCCTAAAAATGCACACATGCCAAATTCAAAAATGCAGACCATACCCAATTAGTTCCAAAAATTCAGTCGCCACATCTTTTACAACTACATTCGATTCTTCCCCGAATTTCCTTAACACTTCCATATTTTCTTCTTTTCCATAGCCCATTTTATAGAGCTCTTTGTGCTCTATAGTGCTCTGGTGGAGAAATGCACTTACTTCGGCTGATTATGGCCCTGCCTTTCCCACACCCTGTTCACGTGCGCTCCGCCTCCGCCCGAAAGGGAAACGGAGAGAAATGCTTATCATGGGTAATACCACCAGTGCTTTAGAAACTGTCAATAAATTGCCAACTCGCGATGCGAGGAGGGGATTTACCAGAGAATTTCCAAAACACGAGTGATATCTAATTGGACTGTTCCACGAGTGGAATTATATCCAACAGAGTTCCAAAATGCTGCAAGTATTGAATTGAAAGCATAAGTTAAAATATGAGGTTTTGTTAAAATCAGAGGTACATACGCTGTTTATTGGACATCGACATAGCAGTCGATGACGATAACGCCACCTAAGGTAGATGAGTCACAGTTTATGATTGGCCAGTAGGCAGAAGCGGTAAGAAAAATTGGATAGAAAAAGCGATTAACGTTTTGACATACACCGCTCTGATAGGGACATTTTGTGAGTATGGTTAAACACTATTAGTTTTAATTTGACGAGTGGAATAGTTATATAAACTCACACAATAGCGTAATGTTCAGGCCCGCAAGGTCCGCAATACGAGCGGGTCCAGGTGGGCCTACTTTTAGGCGGAAGAGTTTGCGATTGAAAGAAACATTAACCATTTGACACTTTTTCTGACACTTCGCGATACAATACAAGATACAATAAAAAACTGAAAGCAGCATCTTCCAGAAGAATAATGTTTTTACGCTCCTGTAGCTTATGTAATCTCTATTTATAAATCAATAAAAGTAAGCATTCATTTAAGTTTAATAACAGTCTTAATCTCGTAAAATTAAAAAGAAACGCAAGTTTTTTACTATATATTATTAAGCATACTCTGATGTATTCAAATTTGGTAAAGGATATTTTATTATATAAGGTATACTAAAACTAAACATGTGTTTGCTATACACTTTTATAGAGGGAGTCCGGATAGACGTTTTGGGAGCGGGCCCGTACATATATCGTCACGCTACTGAAACAAAGTGTGCATAGGAGTTTTCCTGAAAATTTCCAATACACCAGTGGTATTTAAGGTGGTATGTTCATGCCAGCCGCCAGTCAAACACTCAACCATTTATTTCATTTGCATATTAAAAATAATTGCTTATACACGAGAACAGAGCATTTAAATACTAATTTGTAATTACATAAAAAGAAGTGTTAAATAGTTGAACTAGAAAAACAATCTTTACTAATAAATTTAGTCTCTCGCACAAATTTTCATTTTCATGAATTGTCCATACCTCAAAGGTTATGTTGATTTCGGAGCCCGTACTTTTCTTTCTTTTGCATAGAATATTTGTTCACATTGTTTACAATGAAAGTGAATTATTGTCAAATAGTATGTGGTTGTACGTGGTACAAAATTTTAAGTTTCTTGACCGAAAATCAATACTTCCGGTTGCGATGAAATTCGCAGCAGTTTTTATCAGTTACTCCTCAGTAGGCTCGGTGTGGGACGTTACATTTATAATCATTCGTTTCCTCAAAAAATTTACTACTTACTTAGTAAAAGAAAAAAGGACTTTGTAACCAATAACTTAAATAAACCTTTATTTTTTTGCAGTGCTAATTGAAACTTCTTTTATTAAACAATTAGGCCGGTAAGGTCCTATTTGTTTCTTATCATTTTGTATTTTTGGGTGAACTTCACCGTGGTCAATCTAACGAACATGCTACCTTAATAAACCTACTTCACGAATGAAATAACCTCCAAAATTGTTTCAGAATGGGCCAAATATTAATTATGTGTTCTCCCTCTTAGTGCACTAGACAGTGCTTCCTAGTGTGTTGCACTTTGTTTGGCCAACAGCGAAGAGGGGAAAAAAAGAAGAAAAAAGAGAGAGATAATCTTTGGGGATACACCGTCTTGATTGGTGCATGCCAGATGTATACTGGTATTAATTTCACGAGTGGAATAGTCGTATACACACCAAAACAAAACACTACACCAAAACAAATTATGCAAGTTAATTTTACGTTTTATGAAACCTGATTTTCGGAGTAACTGTTTCGTGTTCCAATTTTGTTATTGCTGCGCTTCTATTTTATCATTTATTATTCTTTCAAGCCTTTGTACATACGTAAAACCCATCTCTCCCTCTCTGCTTTTAACTTCCGCTCACTCATTGCTTATAACTTCCGCTCATCACCTAATATACACTGCAAGTTTGAACACAAACCTGTCTTTCATAACCTCGTCAATTCTTCTTTTTCATGAAATATATTATCCGGGGAGAAAGAAAATATTTAAATTTATTTTGTTACGAGTAAAATTTGTACTTTGATTGTGAATTATACACATCAAACGCCACTTCCATTTCCATTAGCCGCACGGTTGCGACCTCGGAGACTGATTACGTTCATCAATTGGTCTTTGGTCCAAATTCTTTTTTTTTTCTCTCTCTCTAATTATTGCTTGCTGCAGATATCTGAAATAGTAATTCCTATGACGCATGACAGGATCAAAAGAATATTGGGAGCGGTGTTGCGAAACGTGTTATCGTGACCTTTCGATCTCCGAGAGGAGGGGGGGGGGCGAATGGGAGGCCAGAATGAAGAGTGAAAATATGTGCAGCTCAGTTGCCAAACACTGCCCCAAAGCGCGCCTCTTCCAATGAGGACTCGTAGCCAAGTAATCGAATTTGTTACTTCCATTCGCTGCACTCCTCTGTAGGATTTTGGTCCAGGGACCATTAAGTAGATCCTTCATAGGACCGGCGGTTGGTGGTAAGTCCGAGTGGATAGTTGAACCGAGGGGTGTCTCCCTCCCTTCCCCCTCCCCATCCATCCCCCGTCGAGAATGTAGCATACACCTATGAAGGGAAAAATACAAACGGATTTTTTCAAATTGTCATTTTCACTTTCACGTACATGTACGCATATACGTAGTATAGGAAAAGTTATGTAATGCTGCGGATAATCGATTTCGAGATTTCAACGGAAATACTCGTTTTGGGGGCCCCTGATACCGAAAAATGTTTTATTTTTTAAAAAACGTCCGTCTGTCCACCCATCTGGTATATGTAAACAATATTAGCGCCTACTCCATGCGTACGATTTCCAAATTCAAGAAAGCCCTGTCCATTTTGCCTGAGTCAACGCTCTGGGTTTTTGAAATAATTCATTAGTTTTTTGGGGGGTTCTTTACGTGAAGCTCAAGAGACATTTTCAAAATTTTACTCAAATATGGCTACAATTTTTTTCTCTAAATTTCTTCTGAGAATATAATAATATACACGTGTAAATGTGGCTTAGGCCCGACTTCCATGGTTAAATCCAAATTTTCGAAAATTTTAAAAGTTTGAATTTTTATCGAGGTCTTCCTAAAACTACAAAAAATAAAAATAAAAATGGAGAGTTTCCCTTCAAATATAATTTGTTCCCCGTTGTGAGTTTTTTCATTAATGCACATAACAGCATGCACATTTTTTTAAAATAATTTTAGTAGTTTTCGTGCAATATTGCGTGTAATTTGTGCAATTTTAAAAAAATACAAAAACGAGATTTTTCTCAAACAGCTCTAATTTTTTCCTTAAATTTATAGTAGGGATTGAGCTAAATACAATTGATATGAAATGACATAAACATCATATTGTTCTATTCTTTTGTTTTTTCAAAAATTACAAAAATGTAATTTTTTGCTTGTCTCTCACGTTGTTAATATTTATATTAGCGGCAATTTATTCACATTATTATATTCATAAGTACGTGTGCATTAAATATTGTAATATAAAGCTTCACCAAAACCCAAACGCTTTCTGTCAAAACTAGCTCAAAATTTTGCAGTGAGGTGCTCAAAGAAAGATAATTGCAGGGAGATGTGACAAATTGCTCATTCACTACAAATTTCACAAAAATAAATCGATCGATCGATCTAACCGTTCGCTGGTTATGTTTCAGCGTGCCAGCGCGCCCGGGTGCGCGACCAGCGCAACAGCAACCCGTACGTGATCCACGAGTGCGACTCGGCGGGCAACTACGTGTCCAAGCAGAAGACGGTGGGGACGCCGCACTGGT